CACCATCCAAGCCTTGTCAAATGTAACCCTCTCTTACACCATCAGTGATCTATCTCGGCATCATCCAAGCCTTGTCAAATGTAACCCTATCTTACACCGTCAGTGATCTATCTAGACATCATCCAAGCCTTGTCAAATGTAACCCTCTCTTACATCGTCAGTGATCTATCTAGGCACCATCCAAGCCTTGTCAAATGTAACCCTATCTTACACTGTCAGTGATCTATCTAGGCATCATCCAAGCCTTGTCAAATGTAACTCTCTCTTACACCGTCAGTGATCTATCTAGGCACCATCCAAGCCTTGTCAAATGTAACCCTCTCTCACACTGTCAGTGATCTATCTAGGCACCATCCAAGCCTTGTCAAATGTAACTCTCTCTTACACCATCAGTGATCTATCTCGGCATCATCCAAGCCTTGTCAAATGTAACCCTCTCTTACACCGTCAGTGATCTATCTCGGCATCATCCAAGCCTTGTCAAATGTAACCCTCTCTTACACCGTCAGTGATCTATCTAGGCATCATCCAAGCCTTGTCAAATGTAACCCTATCTTACACTGTCAGTGATCTATCTAGGCATCATCCAAGCCTTGTCAAATGTAACCCTATCTTACACTGTCAGTGATCTATCAAGGCATCATTCAAGCCTTGTCAAATGCACCCTTCCTTACATTGTCAGGGTAAGTGGTAATTTACTAACCTGAACATGGCAATGAGTAGATTGATAAGTAATATATTTGATATTAACATATAAATCGCAGTTAATGTTGGTGCCACCCAGCGTATGTTATCTGGAACATCTGGGCACGTGTCCAAATATCTAGGATCAGTATGACATGTCTCATTATCAATCAAACCTAAACAGAAATAACAACAAATTAAGAATTGGATCAAGACTATGTATATATGTAATAACAAATCAAAGAACTCCTTGGGGGTATTGGGGGCAGATGTACAAATAAGAATACCATATTTACTACAGTAGAAGCACATCTCTAATACACATAAAACAAAAATTGTATTGCATGCACAATCATTGAGGAATGTCTTATTTTGACCGAAGACTTGGCTTTGTTATTTACATTCGAGCAGATGTGCTTCTAATAGAACAATTAAATAAAGCATTTAAAAATATAACTGTGAGCTGTGATCTGGGGGCTCCAAGTGGCTATGTTATAACAATTATAAATGTTTAATGAAATCATGACCATATATGACGACTTGATATTTTGGTCAATATATTGTCTGAAAACACAATTTTAGCAAAACACAATTTCAAGTTTCATGTCCCTATCTGCTATTGTATTTAAAATATTGCAGTTATGCATATTAATGAGGTCACTTGAGCATATATAGTCATATTTCTTGTCAAATACCTCCATTATAGCACTAGTTGCATGTTCTTATCTGCAACAATGCTTGAGAGATTTCAGTTATGCATAGTAATGAGGTTTACATGAATTACCAGGGTAATATGCATAGATTTCAACCCTGGAGTCATCAGATCTATGGATTATTCAAAAGCACCTAGTTTCATTAATATGCAAATTAGGTAAATAGAAAGCACAAAATTTACGCCTAAACAAGTATGTGGCTTATGCCAGAGTATTTACATGTATATACCAGATTTCATTCAAATCTTTTGAATGGTAATTGAGAAACAAGTGAAAATACAAATACAAATACAAATATATCCCAGATATATGGTGTCTGATTAAAGTCAAGAACCAGAATTTATCTCAAAATAGGTGTGTGGGTTTTGTTGCCATGGCAATTATGTATTTATATTACACAAAAAACACCTACATTCAACTTCTTCAAGAAACAGTTCCCCATAGAGCTGCCAGTACGGCTTGTAGAGTGATTTGAATATTACATATATTTGTGGTTCCATATTGGGATATAGTATGGCTTCTGTGGCAATACCAAAACTTAAAATGAATATCACCAAAATCACCACGAAATATACCAGATCTTTTAACTGAGAAAACAATAGAAATATTAATATCATACATGTGCATAGAATGTTTGTATTCATACAGACTAATTGGTCTCACAGTAACAAGAATGTATTAGAATGTCACTATTTAACATTTTCTAAGTTATTACAAACATGAACAAGACTACATGACTTTCATTTCATATAAAGTGTTTCATGAACTCTGTACAACGTATATATGTATGTCCTTTTAATCAACATAATAAAAAATACAACTCCAATTACTGTTGTTTGTCTGATTATGTTTTGAGGATTGACAACATTTCTGGGTTCTGAATCTTTGAGCCACTTACAAATTTATTTTGAAATTCTTATTCTATGTCTGTTCTGTAAAATAGCAATATATTTGCCAATCTCAGTTGACATCAGGATTTATTCCTACTGTGTTTCATTCACATTTGAAAACTGCTTCTAAACACAAATCAAGGAAAGCTTAGAAAGAACTCCTGTGTGCTGAGAGTATTGAAGACACATTAAAAATTAATTCAAAATTACTTGTACATGAGATATTAATGGAAAAGCTGAAAACTAATTATGTAAATCAGGTAACTAATATGAACAGAACAGAACAAAAAAATTACGAATTATTATGCTAATTAGAGAATATGAAAATTTTTTAACCCAAAATTAATCAGGCCTGTCTATTGTCCTAGAGCATTTATGTACCAAATTTTATTCAAATGTGATGATCAGTAATTGAGATATCAGTGTTAATTAATTATGTTAATTAGGTGATTAATAGGCATGAATATTTACCAAAAACTAATTTGGTCTCTGCATAGTTCTCTTTAAAAGTTTCATTAAAAACCAATTTGTGGTTCTTTATATATCAGTGGAACATTATGCAAATTAGGTAATTAATATCCAATTAAAATTAATCAGGTCTCTGCATAGTCCTAGAAGATCTATGTAGTAAGTCTCATTGAAATATTATATTTAGTACTTGAGATATCAGCAAAAAGCTGAAAATTAACTAATAAGTAATTAATAAGCACAAATATTTACCCAAAAACTAATCAGGTTCTGCACAGTAATTATGTACCAAGTCTCATTGAAATGTGATGATTACTACATGTACTTGAAATATCAAAAGCTGAAA